ACTAATTATTTTCTTATTTTTCCCCAAAACCCCAAAACCCCAAAATATTAAAATTAGCGATTTTAGTTGTGACGTAATGAATTTAAACCAGTGATATCACTACAAAATTTATTAAGGATATTTGACTTTAACTTTTGGATAAAAATAAGAAAATAATTAGTCACATGGTTTGATAAAATTATTATAGTCAAGTACTCTTAAATCCAATCATGATGAAAGTGATATAAGTGAGCACAATGGAGACACCAATAAGAGTGCCAATAATCCATTTATCTAGTTCTCTCTTCTCCTCTTCAGTAATCTTAGTATCATTGTTTGTGGCAACTGCTAAGGGGTTGTGAACCTTTTTCCAAATATAGGGGAAGAAAGATAAAACTAGAGAAACTGAATATCCATATGGCAACATTGGACTTTCTGGGAAACTGTCAAGAATTTAATATGGCTTATAGGAATATGCATGGTGATCAGAGTGTCTTTATAATTTAAAGAGAATCCAATTTGTAATCATTTGAGGAGCATTCCATGAGTGCTTGATATTTACTGACTCGTAATTTCCATTAGCATCTTTCTTTCTCGAAAGTCCATAATGCTCTAAGTAGTTTACTGCCTCAAACATCAAGGTTATGATGAGAGAATATACCAGATGGAAACAAACAGTATGTAGTCCAAATATTTGGAATATCAATCCTAGATAAGCAATGTGCAGAATATTAAACAGTAGAATTCTGTTTCTTAATGGATTGAATGGTGATACTCCTTCTCTAGCCAGTCTCTTTTACTCGATATCCCAGACTTCTACATATCCAGCTGGAATGGCTCTCCAATAAAATTCGTAGAGTGATTCATTCATTCTGGCACTTGATGGATCCTCTGGAGTCGAGACTTTTTTATGATGCGAAACAATGTGTTGGATTAGGAAGTGGGAATATAACATTTTTGAATAGGAAAGAGTTCCAAAGATTTTGTGGATTTTCTCTTTTCTGTGTATTAGTTCATGACCAATGGTTGCGTTGATTGCTCCAGGTTGAGCATATGAAATTACATAAATTACAAAGGAAGCTGGAGTTTATGCAATTTAGCCAATACTGACAGAGTATAGAATCCAAAAATAAATTCCAACATCTATCAGCCAGACAAGGTAAACTGGAACCATGAATCTCCAGTCTCTCTCATAAGCTTTGATTCTGTTCTCTGGAATATTTTTATGATCAACAGGAAGAGTATAATCAGCAATTGGTATTGCAACATAAGCAAGCCAAACGACGATGAATGGATTTTAGTAGTAATAATCAATGTAGAACATGATGCAGAATATTCCAAAAGGCAAGTAGAATGGAAGTAAATCCAAGTAAGAAGGAGGACTGTTGTCAATTTGTAAAGCCAAGTCTTTTTTTTATGCAACAGCATTTTGAATATTATTTTTATAAGTTTCGTTTTGATTCTTGGTCAATGATTGACTTTCCTCTGTTATATGTTATCCTGTAGATTGCTTGCTAAGATCCACTCGAACGTCTTGCATTTTATAATTAAAAATACTATATATGCAAAAAGAGATATTTATTTTAAATATTCTGAATTCCTTATAAGATCCTTAGTATCCGCATCATGGGGTTTTGGGGTTTTGGGGTTTTGGGG